ATATAGAGGGAGAGGGAGTATAGTTGTCTCGTATAAAAAAGTTTTTGGTATTTTCTACATTTGTCATACAGAGACACAGTTGTGACACCAGTATTTTATACCTGGTATTGCCTTAACTTCTATTCAAGTTATACAATAAACTCTAAACATAATAAAATAAAATAATGTTTTGTCTCCACGTACTGCATATAAGAGACAATAAAAAATATTTGATAAATATGTTCTTATATAAATTTGAATATTTTAAATTTTCTTAAAATTTCAATGTGGGCCTGAAATTTTTCAGGGAGAGCAATAGCTTGCTTGTGCCCACCTTTAGCGCCGCCACTGCTGAGAGAACCATAGACATAATAAGATATCTTATTATGTCTATGGAGCGAACACACAAAGGTTCTATATTATTATCTTGCACATAATTCTAAGATCTATAGACTATAATACTTAAATTACTTTGAATCACTAAAAGTGTTGTTTTAAATAAGTTTTGGGGAATATGATTCCAATAATCTGCCAAATAATGCATGTAAATTGTATGGTGTATTTAGTAATACACAAAATAATGTCATTATATTTGTATTTAAAATATAAGTACCTATATCTTATATAATTTACTAGTATAACAATATGATCTAAAAGTCTAATACCTACATTAAGTATTATGATTATATTACTAAAACAACATTTGATTTTCAATTTTTATAATTTAGATCAAATAAAAATGGCCTCATTGGACTTGGATGAAGAATTACTCAAAGATGAAGAGTTAGTWGCAAGTATTCAAAATTTGGACCATTCAATTGTTGATATTGAAACATTACTCGAATCACGAATGAATATAGATTACAACTCTCTAACAGTGGAAGAAAAAATTAAGCATGATCTACTAATTGCATTTGCATTGAATAGTTTGTATTGGGTTTACCTGCGATTGGATGGTGTTGATCCAACTACTCATAATATAAAACGAGAATTAGATCGTGTAAAATCAACTATGGATATGGCTAAAGGTGCTATGGCCAAAAAAAATATGTTAAGAGTTGATAAAAAAGCTGTTGAAAGGGTTATTGATCATGCTCTTTGGACACCAGAAGATAAAAAACGTAGGTTTCAAAATATGGGAAACCAAAATAAAAAAATAAAATTTGATGAAAACGGCGACCCATCGAAATAAAATTATTTAAAATAACTTGTTTTGTATGATGATGTTTTTGTATTGTAATTTACAATAAACTAAGTTATTGAACTGTATTTTAATGTTATATTTTGGCTTTTGACCATGTTGATAAGATTGATAAAGGAGACAATTATTGAATTATTATTGGTTATTACATAAAATGGATAAATCATCAAAATATACTCAAATACACTATGTATTAATCAATCAGCAGCAGTTTACACAGTAAAACTATGTACCCAGTTAAATTTTTTGGAAATTTTGTTTTTATTAAATACTTAATACTTTTATTTTATACCATATTTGGTAAGGTAAGTTTAAATAAACAATGATTTAAAAAGAAGTTTTTGGAATTTAGAATTTTAAGTCATAAAAATTGTGTTAAATTTGTTCTCTTGATTTGTCCAAAAAATAATTTTGCTAATAAAGAGTGAAACATCAGCTGTTTAATTATCCCCTAAACATTTTCAAATATTTCATTAATTTATTTTCTACCCTTCACCAAGGTTTTAAATAATGTGATAGCAATGATTGGTCAATAATATAATGCTCTGTTTTAAGTAGGTGGACATTTTTTAAATGTTATTATAACAAAATAATAACTAATCTATTTCCACAGGCTTCGGCTTTTGAAATATCATCGCACCTTACAATTGATAGTTTCTAATTTTTATAAATATTTTCACATTCTAAAGTTAACATTTGATATAACACTTGGATTTGTAAATATATTCCCCCAAGACCCAAACTCACTTTAACATACAAAATTTATCCTATGAACATTATCAATGAAATATAATTTTGTAATGTTTTATTAACCCCACAATAGATATAATTAAAATAAAGTTTTAATTTAAAAGTTTTGTCATTCAATATTGCAAGTATATAAAGTTAATCAATTATTTACAAATTATTATGTCTTCAAACCATTACATAAAATAGTAATTTTAACTGTACTCACTCTTAAAAKAGAATAATCTGAACGTGTCATTCACAATACCTATGCAAAATGTTCTCTTTATAATCAGTGTGTATACTGTATATTAATTATAGATAAAAACCTTATTAACTTAATGTTTCACTTTCATCAATATGTATTCTTGTATTTTATAATACAACACTACAAATTTTTGTTTTACTCATACTAAAAAATGGTTATTTATGCTAAATTATTTTAAGCTACCTTGTTATTAAGTTATTCATAATCTCAGTATAGAATAATGGGTCTCTCTCTCTACATCATAAAATGAAATTACTGATAACATTTCATAAGCAATTCTGTCGAAGTTATAATGAATCATTCAGACAATCAGAACAAGTTTTTATATTTATAGTTTATACATAGACAATATATTATATTGTGTTCATTTTCTCTAAGAATTTCGTTTTTAGACCAAACAATAGGTTAAGTTAAGTCCAAATGGGAATATTTTGTTATATTTCACATGAATACAACCCAAAAATGATGCCCAAGTATATCTGTCTAATTGTCAAAAGTACTTGCCTATGGATGAGCAAAAAATAATTTTCTTCCAAAAGTGCTTCTCCAAATGAAGATTTCAATTGGAAGTTCAGTGTATCAAGATGTCACGTCAATTGTTGTTTGGAACATTAGTTGTGATATATTCTTGTCACTAGACATATAATTGTTTGAGAACACCGCGTAAATTCAATTGGTGAATAATAATTATTTTGTATAATATATTCAATGAGATTATGAACCYATACTTTTTGCAATATAATTTGAATAACAGTATGTTGTACAAATGAAAAACTATCATAAATATCTAAATAGGAACAGTGGCGTAGTGAGGAACTTGGTGGCCCTAGGGCCATAAGAGACAGACGCCCCCTTTAACACAGAAATTTAATAATAATACAAATATAAAAAATTATTCAATAATGATTCATGAGCTAATAATAATTATAAAATATATTTTTTATTTTATTATTTATTACATATTTTATTAATAAAAAC